ACATCTCTCATTTGCGTTCTCTCTTGGGTCTTTGCTGCTCTCCGGCTAGGGTTGGATGCGTCCACGGAATAGTCATGGTGTTCGTATGTGGGTGTACCACTGGGTCACGCTGATAACTCACGTAAAGAGGATCCGGGTACGATTGTAACCGGACTGCAAAGTTTTCTGGAAGCTGCCATCAACTACTCTCGCCTTGCGCTGAAGGCTCATGGTCGAACCCTAACACGGCAGCGTCAGTCAAAATCTGCTTCTGATACCAAAGGTCTCGAACTTTCACAGCCTCACGTTGCTATATGCTACACTCTACGCTACACGCTACACTATACACTAGTCTACACTATACACTACTATACACTACACACTACACTATACATTACTATACACTACACTACTGTACACTATACACTACACTCTACGCTACACTATACACTACCCTACATTAGTCTACACTATACACTACTATACACTACTATACACTACTGTACACTATACACTACACTCTACGCTACACTATACACTACTCTACACTAGTTTACACTATACACTACACACTACACTATACGTTACTATACACTACACTACTGTACACTATACACTACACTCTACGCTACACGCTACACTATACACTACTTTACACTAGTCTAAACTATACACTACACACTATACTATACATTACTATACACTACACTACTGTACACTATACACTACACTCTACGCTACACGCTACACTATACACTACTCTACACTAGTCTACACTATATACTACTATACACTACACACTACACTATACAATACTATACACTACTATACACTACATTATACACGACACTACTATACACTACTACACACTATACACTACAATATACATTACTATACACTACACTACACTCTACGCTACACGCTACACTATACACTACTCTACACTAGTCTACACTATACACTACTATACACTACATTATACATGACACTACTATACACTACTACACTACGCTATACATTACTATACACTACTCTATACGCTACACTACTGTACACTATTCACTACACTATACACTAGACTACTCTGCACTACACTCTACACTACTATACACTACACTATACACTACTCTACACTATAAACTACTATACAATACACTATACACTACGATACACTAAACTATGCACTACATTGCTATATAGTACACGGCTGTATACTACACTATTCACTACACCACTATACAACAACACTGTTACAGCCTCATGTTGGTTCTCTGCTGTCGCCCCTTCGGTGTGGAACTCTCCAATCCATTTGCACAGCCGCAACATCAAACGCATTCACTCTCGAGAACCATCTAAAAGGCCTTTTTTCCGTGTCTGGGTCCGGGCTTTCGAGCAGCCATGAGCTTGGCTCTGCGCCTCTGCGGTGTCTTTGCCTGCGAAATCGGCGCACTATGAATGCCATCATAATCTGGTGGTCAACTCAACATCAGCACCCCGTTGGGTTGGGCACGCTGTCAGAATCCTCAACCATCTGGACTTCCCGACCGAGTCTTTTTTTTTTTTTAATTCCCAAACTCAAGATCGGGACACGCTCCGGAGATGGAAACGCTGTTACCGGGGACATCCACGAAGAAAGAGCAACCTCTTCAAGTACAACGTTGTGGCAGCGGCTCGCAAAAAACCTCGAGGCGTTCGCCTTGTCGGGCTCGAGTCCACCAGGGCTGTTCGACACTCGTGGGTCAGCAGAGATGCCGTCGCGAAACAACAACAATAACAACAACCACCGCCATTTGCCACTAAGTGTTGGTGATGCCACCAAAGCGCCAGGTGCACTTTGAGGCCACCTGATAGTTTTGAATGCTCGCTGCTGGCAGGAGGTCACGGGGCAGACCCAGGTGCCACGGGTCGACTGACTGAGATGACCGGTTAGATGCACCGCCTGTGCCCCCGACTGCGCCAACCTGCTGTGCTTTATCTGCCCGGCGCTACGCTCGTTGTTGTGAGTGTTGCTCCTCCGCCCTCCGTTGTTGTTGGAGGGCGACTGCCTCCAACTGCCCAGTAGCAGCGTCCTTCACGAGCCTCCTCCACAGAGGCCGATCTTGACACCGCTGGTACCGGTTATCGGCAAGTCCACTCAGCTCCACGTCCTCCTGTACCACATCACTCCATCTCTTCTCCAGCCCGTGCCGCGCGCATTTAGCCCCCTCAAATTGACCAAACAAAATCTGTTGGGGCATGCGGTGGTTAGGCACGGCGGCTACGTGACCCAGCCAACGCAGCCTCGGCTGCCGGAGGAGCTCACCGATGGGTCTGTGTCCAGATCTTTCGAAGATTTGTGAGCTCCTCACACAATCCAGCCTGCAGGTCAAACCCAGGATGGATCGTAGGAACGCACCCCCCACCCCAGGCCAGGTGGGACACTCAAGGGCTCTCCAAACTATCGATAACGACAACACACGCACGTACAGCCACTGTAACAGGATGCAGTCGGAGCCTCCTATGAAGCGTTGTTGTTGTTGTTGTTTTCACAAAGCGATTTGGATGTAACGCGGTGAATGCACTAGGGGGAATGCATTTTTTTCTTCACATACAAACGCAGATTACAAATTGGATACAACGCGACCGGAGCGAACGGAACTACGTCGCAGCGGTGTGTAACAGCTGCCTCAGCGTAGCATCGTCATCACACAAGTCGGGGATGCTGCTGGATGCTTCTAGATGCTACCCACGTGCCTCAAGTCTTTTTTTTCGGCCTGCCGAAGGTATCATCTCACGCGTTATCATGAACTGCGCTGTACCCCCGTACTTTGTACGTTATTTATTGTAACGCAATTTATTTATTTTTTATCACGCAGCGTTCTTCAGGAATGAAATGTTCTCCTACCACGTTATAGGACAACACGACTCCGCGTGGTTCCAGGATTGGCCCAATCAGCCGCCTGTGCACCCACACAAAGCCTCTGAACCATCATTGCTACCCACGGACGACCATCATTCTCGACCTCGAAGGATCTCCAGATGATGATGATGATGATTTAAAGCTTTCGTGACTGCAAGGATTCATCTTCTTTGCTTCTTTCGGTAAAGTCACCACCACGTAGAATGAGAATAAAATAATAAATTGATAAAATAAAATAACACAATAATATTCTCACGACGTTTTGGCCACAACACAAGTGGCCTTCATCAGGTGAAGGGACGAGACTGTGGACAGCGCTGGAGTGAAAAAGCCAAGCTCAGACCGCGACCTTTAAGCTGTGTGAGAGGAAACAAAGCGCCCTCAACTTTAGCGCTTTGTTCCTCTCACACAGCTTAAAGGTCGTAATCTGAGCGTGGCTCTTCACTCCAGCGCTGTCCTACCAGACAGTCTCGTCCCTTCACCTGATGAAGGCCGCTTGTGTTGTGGCCGAAACGTCGTGAGAATGTTATTGTGTTATTTTATTTTATCAATTTATTATTTTATTCTCATTCTACGTGGTGACTTTACCGAAATAACCAAAGAAGATGATGATGATGATGATTTTAGGACTCACTACCCTAATTATAACAAGGAACGCGTCTCATTTGCAAGAGTAACTCCCCACCTGCCCGGGAGGTATTAGTCCGTTAATAGAGGGTAGCGGGAGGGTGACGGATGCTGCTGTGTGCGTGGCGTGATCCCAATTAAATAACTTGGAGTGTACATTTCCGATTTTTTTTTGCCGTTGGAAATTTGGACTCTGGCATTAAGCCTTAATGGGGCTACTTTTACAAACGCAGATAGTGGGTTTGTAGCAGTCGTCATAGTTATTAGTGTGGTCTTTTACATCCGCAGTGATAATTAGGGCAGCCACCGAATTTATTCTTCTCATTCTCTAAGCAAAACTACCTTTTTATTTTTGTTTTGTTTTTTACCGGGTTAGGCCCCAATGACCTATGAAGTAGTATTTTTTTTTCAGAAGCGACTTGGATATATCTATAAATGATTTCTAGCAGCCAAATACACCAAATGCACGCTGTTTTCTAAATTTGGGAGGGAAAAACCTGGAGGACCCGGACAAAGATCCACGCGACCACGGCGAGAGACACGCAAAGTCCAGCAGGCGTCAGAGTCGGGAGCGCCAAAACAACCAGCCTATGGACTTATGCCTGGCACAAGCGCTACCGCCATCGTCATCATCATCATCATTGTCATCGCTAACCTGAGTACTTTTGAAGCCAGATGCAAAGCTGGAAAGTGTTCCGTGTGCCCCATGCGTTTCTTTTGTTCATTGATTCTTTTCGTCATCTCGTGTATTTTCTCCATAAGCCTAAACGCGGCATTGGCGAATCATATGCACGGTCGAAGAATTGTGACGAGCGCAATTTAGAAGCGTGTATAGTAAGCGTGGGAATCTAGTTTTTGTTTTTTGTTAAGGGCCGCCACGGTGGCGAGATGTTAACTACCTCGCCTGGTGTACAGGGTGTGTTGGGATCGATCCCGAACCCGACGGCTGTTTATATGGAGTGTGCGTGTCTCTCCGCACGGTGGCGTGGATTTTTCTGTGGGCCCTCCGGGTTTTTTCCCCCTCCACGTTTAGAAACAGCGTGCATTTGTCTGCTCTAAATTTCACTTCGTTGAGCTATCATCTGTGATAGCCAAGTCGCTTCTGGAAAAAGAGATACACAGCTTTAGGGAGGCTTTGCCTGGTAAAATAAAACAAATGCTTTTTTTTTGTAGTTTAAAAAAAAATTGTTTAGGAATCAATGCATCTTAACTTGCCTAGTAGCGAAGCCTTGGGACTTGTTGAGATTCTGTCCAGAAAGTATTCTTTGATAACTAGCTTATTTGGCCACGGTGACTGAATCACTGTGTAACAAAGAAATATAAATGATAAAAAACAATATTTTAGTGTTTTTACCAGTAAAGGCCCAATGAGCTATACAGTAGCTCTTATTCAGAAGCGACATGGCCATCCAAAACGATAGCTCAACGAATTCGTATCAACATCATCACGTGGAATTTCAAGAGGACGACTTGGATGAAAATCCACGTGACCACGGGGAGAGAGATGTTGCAAACTCCAAATAAACAGCAGGCGTCTCGGTCGCGACCGAACCCACGACCTCCTGTCCTGTATACGTGGCAGGGTAATTAACATATCCTAGCCACCGTGATTTGTGCAGTGCAATAACCACTGGACCACAACTACCCCCCACGCACCATTCATCATCATCACGATCCATATGGCAGATATCCCCATAGTCGTAGGTGGTGGTTTGTTTCCACTTTCCTCTCCCTGTCTTGTCGTGCCAATATGCTAAAGTAGTGGCCGCATCATCTTTCTGGCACCAATCTCGTTATGATGTCATTGTCAAGCCATTCTCCGTTAGGTCTTCCCCTCTCGCTCTCCGGTTCCATCCATTAGAACTTCTCAAAGACGTTCTCCAGGTCTGGGTAACTTTCCCTGAGGTCCCACAGCGCCTCCCAGAACTGCTTGACCCTGGGTCGCCCCCTCGCCATCACCAGCTCCACCATGTGCTGTGTCGCCTTCTCGCTGCCTTGCCGAGCTTGCATCTCCTTCACGGCCTGCGGGTGGACACACGAACGCAAAGACGCGACGTTCAGAGCGGAACGACGTTTCTGTAGCGATGGCGGTTCTTCAGAGCCGCTTGCCTGCAACACTCCAGAAGCACTCTGTGTTTGCGTTGTAAAGCAGCAGCGTTTATGACCAAGTGTGACTCTTGTAAAGATGATCCGACATGACCAACACTTCCAGATAAAGTTGTATTCCTATTCCCCGAGCTCTCATACTCTGATGGTGCATTGTCTTTGAGTTGTGCGCCTTTTGGCGTCTTCTGGTCCAACACCAACGTGAGACGAGGCTCTAAAGAAAGCTGTCTCGGGTGTGGACCAATCAATTTCAAGGACAGTGCCACATACATTATCAGAGTTGTTGTTTTTTGTTTGCGTTCCGACCGCAGGTATTGTGGTCAATGTAAACATGACTCCTTGTAAAAAAAAGGTGTCAGTTTTGTTGCCAGATTAAAAGGGTAAAACACCAATTATCATATTTTGTTACTGGCAAATGAGGTTTCCAATGGTGTTAGTTGGACAGTACCCGCACGCTGTTGTCGGTGAGGATGTTCCTGATCTGCAGTTGGGAGAGCAGAGGCGTCAGGTCGTCGCGCAGCGCCACGAGGAGCTCCCTCGTCTTGAAGCGGATTTTGTCTCGGAGGACAAAGTCGCTGTACTTGTTCAGAACCAGGGGGGACTTGTTGGAGAGTCTCCGGAGGAAGTCTGCGGCACCACAAAAGGGGGTGAAACGCAGCGGCAATTGGCGCCGTTTCAGCCTTCAAAGGTGGATGAGAGCAGGTTGGAGTGCTTTTGGAAAATTGAACAAAATAATGAAATGTAACGTAACCAATGTGCCTGAAGAATAAAGTTTTAATCGGCCCGCATTACCTGCTATGACGTACGAATCAGACACGTGGACACTGACAATTAAAAGGAACAGCACTGCAAGAGCATGAAATAGTACACGGTTTTAAGTTACGTAGAAAAACAGAACGACAGTGCATGGGTTATAGGGCATTGCTTTGTTAATTAATTGCACCTGGGCAGGACATGTCACCAGAAGGAATGATGGCCGGTTAATGCGACAAATGTGGATTGTGTCTGAAATTAAACGTTAATTATAAATGTATTATTTTGTTACCAAGGCCTCCCAGCCACTCCTTGAGTCCAGGATACTCGTTCTGCACGGCCTGCAGGGCAAAGAGCAGCTTGAGGCAGTCGTCATTCCCTCTCTCTTTGAAGAAGTTGAGCAGCAGCTCCGTGCACTCCACGCCATCCCGGATGCCCTTGGCCTCGGTGAAGAGCTCGTTCGGGATCCGTCCCCTACTCATCAGCTGCAGCAGAAGATGCTTGGGGTCTCTGGCGATCCAGAGCTTCAGATCCGACTCCTTATCTCGAATGGCCCTCAACGCCTCGCCTGCGATCGATAGAGGCTCATATGAATTTCAAACGAATCGTTTAACACAGATTTTAATTGAGTTTATATCCTATTCAGCTACAATTGTGCTTCTGGAATCAAGGCACAACGTATAACATATTTAGGTTCATACTGGTACTTAAACAGTCAAGTGTGACGTGAAGTCGTTCAGTCACGCACAGCATGACATCATTCCTGTGCGGCTTTAAACGTAGCGTCGTAGTCTCCGATTACTTCCCCGAGGACGAACTCGTGCTGGAAAGCATTACGGAAGCCACGCATATGCATGGTTTTTCTTCCTCGACTCTCACAAAATGGCATTCGATGTCAATACACCGGTGAGTTCACGTGGGTCGTACCGTGTGTCTGAATCCACTTCCACAGCTGCACGTATTGCTTCCTCACAGAGTAGAGGGCGTCCCACAGCGTCTCACAGCGTGCCTCTCCCTGGCTGATGAAGTGGTCCAGAACGAGCTCCACACTCTCCTCTCCGCCCTTGTCGACGGCCGCTTGGTGCACGTGTCGTGGAATCAATTTGAAGCCGTTGAGATGCTCCAGGAAAGCCGAGGGATCCGCTCCGATCCAGGCCTTGAGTTTCTCTTTGTTCTCTCGGATCTGTTGCATTGTCTCGCTGCTCTCATTGCTCCTCTGTAGCGTGTGGAGAAGACATGGTCACGATTATTTCTGTCTATCTTCAGTGTACTAGTGCATGCCGACACACGGAAACAATGTAGAGTAGGGTCATCATGCCACTATGCTGCGTTGAGTTTACCTGAACTCCATATGGCACCTTGTGATCATTTTGCACGATAACAAGCGGTAGATTTTCATCATGCTCATTATTTGTATGAGTAGTGTCTGAAAGAAATCAGATAAAGTTAGTTCATCACTGATTCATAGCACAGTCGATGCGGTTGTATCATTTGATTATCGGTCCAAAACGAAAAACTGTTCTATTGTTCGACACAGAAAACTAAACATGGCGATCTTGGAGTCAGGGAGAACCTTTAAATGTTTCCTATAATTTTAAGATTGGAAAAACCTTAACTGGAATGTAAAGTTTCATAATTTCATAGCCAAGATGAAGATGTCATCACCTGCGGCTAAAAACCATGAACAGACAGTTTTGAGGTCGTTTTTGAATCAGTCCAAATCCTACCTCGATGCCCCTCGGGACCTCGACAATTGTCAACTTCCTCCCTTTGTCACAAGAGCGGCAAGCACAGAACGAAGTAACGACGACGCTTCAATTGAGCGTCCTGTCCAACACGACTTTACTCGGGTGTGAAATATTGTCGGATGAGTGGAGGCACGGCAGAGGTGACTGTCACCAGTAGCAACACTCTCCAAGGGACTTTCAAATGACACCGAAGCCAAAGCTCTCAAAAGGGATGTAACTCATTTTCATCATTCTGTGCAGTGGTGTCTGCAGAGAGCATTCAGAGGCGGCTTTGTGCCGAGACGTGATTTCTCCACGCATCTTAATTCACTGTATAATGAGTAAAACACATTTTGGCAGATGTATAATTGCAGCCCCAATAACAGGATGTGATCTTTGGATTAAGCACAGAACGTTGCCACTTACCTGATTGCTTCACCATCGTTTTTAAAGTCAACCCCTTCTGCTTCATGTTGAAGTAAACTATGAGCAACACGAGTGCAGTCAGGACGAAGATGAGGACTGCCGCCAACACGACTGACGTGGCGTCTGAAAATTTTATGAAGGGAAAAAAAAACAACAAGCTGTGAACAACAGTCCCCTCTCCACCAACTTATCAGGTCTATGTGATACATTGCGATGAATACGAATGCAGTACGTTGCATTAACACAACCTCTATCAAAATCAAACCATCAAATCACTGCTCATAATAAAGGTTTTTGGGTTAGATCGCGTTATTTATAAATGTGTCGTAACCCTCCACCACCCGACACGGCCAATCAGCAAAAATAAAAGTGTCACGTTGACAAAAGACAAATAATTCACTACTTTAGCCCACCGGTGTGTTGAAGAGTGAATGTACATTTACAGTTTGAGTTGTACTGTGAAGTTTCGCTGGTAAATACATCCAGCATCATCGGGCAATTCGCCAGAATGGTAAAGCCCTCGCTTGCTCCCGGTTTTATATAGAGCAGCAGCAGGGTGACGTCATCATTGAACTCATATCAGGTGCAGTGATTTGAGGCGGAGGGGGAGGGGGGTATTGTAATTATGTAATCGATTAGTAATCAGTCAATGGTTATGATTAGTAATGAGTTGTAGATTAGTAATTAGTTGTAATGTGTGTTATTGTGATTATATGCTACGTTAGTAATCCGTTAATTAGTATGCGTTTCCCCTATAAGGAATTGTAATATGCATTATTTAATAATACGCCTCCAGGACGCACTAAATCACTGCTCTTTGCATCATTTCTATAGTTTCTTTAAGCACGAAAATTTTCTGCGAAGGCGCTTTTCACAGATTATCATCTGCAGCAGTTTCAAAGTTGCGGGTGATGTTATTTTTTTTTTACGATTTGCCTTCCCCCCATAAACGAACTTTGCCAATAATTTCACATTCGAACCACGATGCCAGAACACATGGCATTCTATTTTCAAAACAGGTCCCTGCAGGGTGGGCTGGTAGGAACATTGGCAAAGTAACATCACGGTGCCTTCGAACTGCGCCTCGCAAATGGTATTCGGCTGTGGGCTGTCTGTGAATTTGCCACATCCCCAAAAGCGAAGTTCGCAAATGAGATAACGTGACTTCCAAATGTTGGGTGCAATAAGACGTAATATCAAGTCTCTGCGCTGTCTATTGCTGATTTTATACACCCCAACAGCACGAGATTTCACTTCGTTAAAGTATTGAAAGGGGACGGACAAACGGACGGACGGAAGGACACATTAATCTATTGCAGGCTGGTACACTCAGTTTACAACCTCGTTCCTACCAGCATAAGGTTACCAGACCACTATCATTCACTGTGAAGCAGATGGCGCATTTCAATTTGTTGAATGCACCAGTCGCATTAACCAGGGTAGCCGATGGGGTTTTGAACTACAAACCTCCGAAACGAGCAGTAAAAGCGCTACTACCCAGTGTGAATATTTGGAGGCAAGGGGACTCCAGTCTAAAACTTGAGCGTAGATAAAATAAATAAAAAAAATCGGTTTTGATTTAAAGCTTTCGTGACTGCAGTAATTCATATTCTTAGTTTTTTCAGTAAAGTCACGTTGAAGAGAAACAACAAAGTAACAAAATATATATAAAACAATAAAAAAATCATCATCAGGTGACCGTTTGAGTTATGGTCGAAACGTCGTGAGAATTTTTTATTGTTTTATATATATATTTTGTTACTTTGTTGTTTCTCTTCAACGTGACTTTACCGAAAAAACTAAGAATATAAAAAAATTCGGTGTTCAGTATTGCACAGGGTCGTGAATTGATAACGTCACACGTGGCTGTGTTTGACCGTGCATGCAGTTCCTGAAGCATTCAATAGACGTGAGGTTGAGTTTGAATTTCGTGCTTCTATTGCAGAACGCTTCTGCCGTTTCAGTGGACCAGGCTGTCCCGTGCTCTCCCTGACAGCTGAGAAATCAAACGGCGTATTGCGGTTGACTTGAGCGGCTTTGTAATCCTACTACTACCTGGGGTTTGCAACTCCTGAGGCACACAAATTCCCAAGTCGTCGTCTCTCTTGAGGCCCTCTGCGCACCGACACACCGTGTCCTGGGCCACGGAGCAGTTCACAGCCGCCTCCTCGCCTGCGATTAGGAAACAACAACAAAAAGCATCCCAAGGGGGGTGAGAGGTGGTGGTTAGATCGCGTAAATATGAATGTCGCGTCGTCATTTCAAGTTTTCAAGTTTTCATTTATGAGGCATAGAGCCCTGTGAGCCACGCGGCTCTTGAGTCGGGGTACAACCGCAACAAACAAAACATGAACAGAGAAACATCTTAAAGCGACGACGCGCAACAGAAGCATCCTGGGATGAACCTGCAAATCATCATCGTCATGAAACCTGCCACCACCATCCGACACAGCCAATCAGTGGAGGGGTTTGTCACGTAACACAAAAACGTTGCCAATTAGTTACTAGTTTCAGTACTAACCGGTGGGTCAACTCCGCAAGAGCCACGATTCCCCCCTACCCCTCCCCCTGAGCACGCACACACACACAGCACACACATGCGCAGCACACACACACAGCACACACACACAAAGATCCAAAGATCCCCCATATAGCCTGTAACAGACTGTAGGGACAAGTGCTGTTAGCGAGCACCTATGAAGGCCAGAACGGTACACGAGGGGGTGGGTGGCCAGCACCACGCCCGACCGCCTTTGTCTCCCTAGTGGCGATGTTTACACACCGCACCAGGTACTCATTTGAGGCTGAGTCGACCTAGGGGAGGCCCGGGACCGGTTCAGATAATCGTCACTGGTGTTGGCCGTGAGCGTGAATCGAACCCGGGTCGCTAGGTTCATAGTGCAGCGCGCTAACCGCTACACTACACTATCACTACACTATCACACACAGACACACACACAGCACACACACACACAGCGCACACACAGACTCACACACGCAGCACACACACACACGCCGCACACACACACGCAGCACACACACACACGCAGCACACACACACACGCAGCACACACACACGCAGCACACACACAGCACACACACAGCACACACACACACACACACAGACACACACACAGCACACACACACACACGCAGCACGCACACACACACAGCACACACACACACACACAGACACACACACAACACACACACACAGCACACACACGCGCAGCACACACACACACACGCAGCACACACACAGACACACAGCACACACGCGTAGCACACACACGCGCAGCACACACACGCGCAGCACACACACAGCACACACACACGCAGCACACACACACATACGCAGCATACACACAGCACAAACACACGGCACTTACACACACACGCAGCACACACACACACAACACACACACACAACACACACACACAGCACACACACACACAACACACACACACAGCACACACACACACACACGCAGCACACACAGCACACACACACACAGCACGCACACACACACGCAGTGTCCCGGCGGGGGATCGCTTGGCACAACGGGTTTTCATCCGAAGGGCCCCTAGGTGGGAAGTCCCGTGGTTTCCCGGTGCCAGGAGGTTGGCCGACCCTCCCAGGACGAATCACCTTGGTGGCGCCCCTAAACTGAATTCAAATTGTAGGGGCGCACCAAGGTCCACCGGGCCAGCTGCGATGAGTTACGCACGACATCGGCAAAAGGGCTGGGGTGAAATGTTAAGTGAGCAGAGCAGACAGTGAGGGTGGGTGGGGGGGGGGATCCTAGTGCCACCGACCAAGTACACACCGGGTGTGTATTTTTGCCAGCCGAACGCCCTCCCAGATATTAAACCGGCTGAGTCAGGGATTAATGGCCACGGGCGCAGAGACAATGGCCTGAACAATAACGTAACGTAACGTGACGCTCCACGTGAGGGCGGATAATTCTTTGAAAATTTACCGGTAGGCCGCACGATCATCTGCGCAGGCTATAACGTTAACCCCGGATGGGGTTTTGTTTTTTTTTTTTCCCGAAATCAAAGGGCCGTAAAAAATGGGCGAAACCCGAAACTTGTTCAAGCGAGTTGTCTCATCCCCGACCCGCCTGGGCCGCCCAGACCGACTCCCCGCCCGCCTCCTCCTCCTCGAGCCGCCCGCAGCGCCCGCGCGACGCCGGCAGGGTGCGTCCGCGAGGTCCGCGACAGGGCGTGCGAGTATCTGGGGGGGGGAATTGGGGAGCGATGGGAGAGGCTCTAGCTCAGCGTCGGCGCAGTGTTTGCGACTCGAGTGTGCGGGGTCGTGCATGACCACCCGCCGCTGTAGCGTTAACGGTGGGGCGTGCGCGTCGCAGAGTGGGATCACCAGCGGGAGAGTGGGCGTTGCGTGGAATAGCCCCATGCGGCGGTGAGCCAGCCCATTTAGCTGGGGGCCCGGCGGTGAGCCGATCGAGGCCGTGGAGGAGGGAGGGCGGTGGGGTGGATGCCGGCCCACGCGGCCACCTCCTTTGAGGCTGTGAAGACGGCAGCGGTTTGCAACGCGGCCGATGGTTTTGGATTGATGGCCGCGATCGCCGGGCCCCACCGAATATTCCACGCGCTTCTGTGCGCATCAGGTGGCCGCATTGGCCATGCCCCGTCCTGATTCGGTTGATGGTCGGCCAGTGGCAGCGTGGATGGTTTGAAGCCGGGAGGCCGACGGAAGAATCCTGTACGAGAAGTTTACTACATCCTTAGTTTTATATATATTTTATTATTTTGTTGTTTCCCTTCAACGTGACTTTACCGAAAGAACTAAGAATATGAGTTACTGCAGTCACGAAAGCTTTAAATCGAGAAGTTTACTTTTGATGTCGGCCTCAGTTCAGACTTGCATGCGTCTCTTGGCTTGATTTGTATTCGTGGCATGGAAGTCGTTGCCTGTGAATAAATCCTGCTGCGTTTTTGTGACGCACGATGCGAGTAGCCAGACTGTTTAGCGTGGCCCTTGGAATCGGCGAGGATGTCCATCATCATAGGCCCTTGTGTCACGAGAGGCAATTCTTTTTTGCGCCTTACGAGGTCAGCTGTAGGTTTTGCAGCGCCTAGAATGACTTAGTAGGCCAATCCTTGAGTGGCAATCCTTGCCACAGCAATTGCAAGTGAATGCGGTGGCAGCTCCAGAGGCGTTTGTTGCTTTTTCTTGACGTCGCTCCCTCTTGGTCTGCCAAGCGGTGCGTCTTTTCTCCTCGCCTCTCCCGAGGCCCGTCTTCACAGCCTGCTGCCAGCTGAGTCGGTCGCCGGCAGTTTTCTCCCAGTCACTTGGGTTGATGTCGCAGCTCTTCACGTCCCGTTTACAGACATCTTTGAAGCGCGGGACCGGGCGACCAGCGGCCCGTTTGCCTGATGCCAGCTCGCCGTACAAGACATCCCCTTGGGTATTCTTCCACCCTGCATGCGGTGCACGTGTCCAAGCCATCTCAGGCGCCTATGACTGAGTAGAGAGTACATGCTGGGAATGTTGGCCAAGTTGAGAACTGAGGTGTTGGGAATGTGATCTTGCCATCTGATATCGAGGATGCGCCTGAGACATCGGAGGTGGAATGTGTTTAGTCGATGTTCTTGATGGGCGTATGTTGTCCAGGACTCAGACAACATAGAGGAGGGTGCTAAGGACGCAGGCCCGGTACACTTGTACTTTGGTGTTGAGCGTTAGGGACTTGTTCTCCCACACTCTTTTAGTCAACCTGAACGTAGCTGTTGACGCCTTCCCAATGCGCTCGTCAATCTCTGTGACAAGGGACAAATTGTAGTAGGTGATGGTAGAACCCAAGTAGGTGAAGTCCTGAACGACATCCAGGGTTTAGCTGCCAACGCTTATGGAAGGGGTGTCTCTGACATCCTGGCCCATGACATTGTATCTTTTTTAGACTGATTGTGTAGGCCAAAGTTGTTGCAGGCATTGGCAAGGTGGTCGATGAGTGTCTGCAAGCCTTGTTCCGTGTGAGGATGTACCCTGGAATGTTCAATTGTAGAGTGCCGCTTTTCTCCACACGCGTCTTGGATACATTGAGGATGTGAATGTTTTCTTGCCGGATGATCTTTGTGAGGATGCATGTTTCTGCACGGAATGGGCTCTCAACATTTAGCTGGCATAGACGAACCGATGGGGCTGATGGAACTGCTCGTCTGGCCCCGAGGAGGAGCTTCGTTGCCAGGCTCTGTTCTTTCCGCTGTAACCTCAGAGGTCGACTGGCAACAGACGGCTTCCTTAGTGATGTCGTTCGTTATGAACTTTGGTGTGGACTTCGTTCCACGTGACAGGGTGGGCCGCGAGAAGGCTGACATCACCCGCCCCTCTTAGAAGCTGCAGAGGTTTGAGTCTGGACAGAGTTTGGATGGGCGACCACCGCGCAAACTGAAAAATACCAAAAAAGTTTTGCCTACTTTTCGACATTCCTTCGGTTTGCTGAAAAACCAAATCAACCGGTGCTTTTTTTGGCCACCTGACAACTTGAGTTTCTTTGTCGGGTGGTGGTGGATTTCAGGTTTTTTTTTAATTGGCTTCATACCAACACTATGTCACTTCAAAAACAAACTTATTGTGAGCAATAGTGGTTAGTAAAAGCGTATGTACACAGGTAAAACAGTTGCTACAGGCTGATGCATGGGCTTCATTATAGGCAGTTCATAATTTTTATGTATTTATTGTACTATGTGCCCACGCCTGCTTCTACCTTTCCCAAACCTGAAGTATGGTCAAATAACTCCAGTTAAAATAAAAAAATAATAAGATATTGGCACTAGAAATATATTGCTATAGAAGATCACTCTGCTGTGTCTAAGCTGCTGTATCCAAAGGATTCGCTAAACTCTTTTATATATATGAAAAAAAAGTATCTGCGCGTGCGTGCTTGCGAAAAATTTGTCTCTCAACCGGTGGGGTTCACGTTGAAAAAAAAATTTGACGGGCAGCACGCCCTAAGCCCCACCGTGGGCATAGCCTAATTCCTTTCTCACGTCCGTCACCTTTACATTAGTTGAATTAGCGATGTAGTGGGATTTAGCTTTAGCTACTTATTTATGGCGTGACTTCGACCGTACCAACTCACGCCAATTGGGTGGGTGGGGGGGGGGGGGGGGGGGGGGGTGGACCCTACCAAGTGATGCGTGTTCGGTCGAGCTCACATTTTGTTTGACGCGTTGAACATGCAATAAATATACACATAGCCCTGCGGCTATTTCTTCACAGTGTGATGTCCTCTTTACCCCTCCCCCTCCCAACACAATGCGTGCAGTTAATACTACAGAGTCCGTAGCTAATACTATTATAGTGTTATATATCTTAGTTCTTTCGGTAAAGTCACGTTGAAGGGAAACAACAAAATAATAAAATATATATAACAATATATAAAATAATATATACATATTTTATTATTTTGTTGTTTCCCTTCAACGTGGTGACTTTACCGAAAGAACTAAGAATATGAATTACTGCAGTCACGAAAGCTTTAAATCAAAACTATTATAGTGCTTAGATAGCATTATTGTTGCACGGGCGGGGGGATGGTGGAGGGGGGGGGTAGCGGCCCAGCCCTCAGCCTGCCAACGTGCCACCTCCGCCGGCTCGGCAATGTAGGTCAGGACGGGGGCTCCACACGGGACTAGGCCTCACCACGGCTATGGTAAGTACAAGTTTCCTTGCTTCTTACGCTACAATCACGCACGTACAAAACCGTTGTTTTATTAATCACCTTGGAAGTATTCTATTATTTTTGGTCGTGTGCTCACAACAAGACGATGTATTGCTTACTTTCATCTTCATTATTTGTGTGAACTTACGTTCAAATGTCTGCTTTATTGTTGTGTGAACTCACATTCTAATACACCTACTTTAAAAAAAAATCACCTTCCTATTATTACATTACTTCTCTTCACTTACAGCTTTCGTGACTGCTGGATTTCAACATCTTTGCCTCTTTCTCTTACGTTACATACCTACAAACATTTCAAGTAATTTTGCATTTATCACAATGCCATACACACCATAGTGTGTGCAAACAACAATTGTTTTTGCTTTGTAATTTGCCCATTCCTTTCATCTTCATTATTGTTTCAACTCACTTTGAAATTCACCTATTTATGCAAATATAACCTTCCCATTATTACATTACATTACCTCTTTATGCAACTATAACCTTCCCATTATTACATTACTTCTCTTCACTACAGCATTCGTGACTGCAGAAATTCATATCCTTTGCCGCCCGGGTAAAACCACATGGCCGGGAGTCGGAGCCATTCCCTCTACACCTTCGACTGCGACAGGGATGTCCTCTGGCCCCCACATTATTTTACATATATTTTTTTTTACCACGTACTTAGTGAAGCCTTCAATCTGCTACAGATACAATGGGAGGCTGATCGATGCCCGGGTGCCGTCAAGGGATGCCTCCTTATTGCTCAACCATGTTATGTATGCACATGATCTGGTAATTGCTGCTCACTCAGAGGACGAGTTGGAGGCCCTGCTGCTGAACCTTGGAGCTTGCCACTAAGAGGTGGGCCCTTGCCATCAGCCCCACCAAAACTAAGCACCTGCCTTGTTTTTTTGTACCATTGGACACTCCACCCCCACAACTCCCAATTGGTGATGGGCCGGTTGTGGAGAGAGTGGAGAGTTTGCCATACCTGGGCAGTGTGCTCATTACCGTCTCCGGTTTGACAGCAGAGGTCTCACTCCGAATCAGTCGAGCGGCATTATCTTTTCATCGGTTGCGTAACGCTGTGTGGAAGCTGCCTGGTCTGTCACTCCGCACTAAGCTTCAGGTCTTCTCGGCCACAGTCATTCCCTCCCTTCTCTACGCATGCCAAACATGGACCCCCCTAATGGAACATCTTAACCGGTTACAAATATTTATGCTGGCCTGCCTACGATCCATCCTGGGCTTAACCTGCAGGCTGGATTGTGTGAGGAGCTCACAAATCCTTGAAGGCTGCGTTGGCTGGCCCATGTAGCCCACATTTCCAGCCACCGCATGCCTAAACAGCTTTTGTTCGGCCGGATCGAGGGGGCTAAACGGGCGCGGCACGGGCTAGAGAAGAGATGGAGTGATGTGGTACAGGAGGACGTAGAGCTGAGTGGACTTGCTGATGACTGGTACCAGTGCTCTCAAGATCGGCCTCTGTGGAGGAGGCTCGTGAAGGATGCTACTGGGCAGTTGGAGGCAGTCGCCCTCCAACAACAACGGGGGGCAGAGGAGCGACGCTCACAACAACGAGCGGAGCGCTAAAGCACAGCAAGTTGGCACAGTAGGGGGCACAGGTGGTGCATCAGCCAGTCATCTCAGTCATCTCAGTCAGTCGACCCGTGGCACCTAGGTCTGCCCCGTCACCTCCTGCCAGCGGGCGTTCGACACTTCACGTGGCCTCAAAGTGCACCTAGCTTGGCACAAGCGTCGTGGTGATGTTACCACCACTTAGTCCCGAATGGCGGTTTACTTGTTGTTATATGGTATTGTGTGATATTTTTTACACTTTTAATTGTTTTCTATCTGCGTAACTTTGCCGAAAGACACAATCAATGTACATTAATAATGTTTGTGTGCAGACAACAAATTTTTGTATTTTTTTTTGGTGCCAAATCATCTTCATAGAAACCAATTTTTTTCAATAATCACCTTGCTAATATTACAATCATAATGTTTGCGTGCCGACAAATGATATTATTGTTCCTTGCTTCTTCCACTAAACTCATGTACATAGAAAGCGTGTCTAAATCGATGTGTGTGTGTCTGCCTTTTTCGCCCGGGCAACGCCGGGTACTTACCGCTAATGTAGAATAAAAAGGTTGCATTGTAGTATAAGACAACATGATGATGATGATGCTGATGATGATAATGATGCTGCTGATGATGATAATGCAGGGAGCGATGAGAAGGAAATTGACACTATTTGGAAAAATGGAAGGAAATGGAAAAAGAGGAAGACCTAACAGATAACGGCTTGATGACATCGCAAGAGGGCGTTGCCAGAAAAATGTGCCACGACTTTAGCATATTGCCACAAGACGGAAGGTGGAAACAGCAAATGACGAAATTTTCAGTGAACACATACTACCATGGGCTATCTGCCCATGGATTGTAATTATGACGATACACTACACTACTAAACACTACACTACCAAACACTACACTATTGCACTATACACCACTGCAATACGCTCCGCTCTACACCACTCATAAACTACAGTAGTATACACTACACCACTATGATGTGGCACTACAAGATAGGAAATTGGAAACGACCAATGATGAAATGTGCAGTGTGACCACCTACTACGGGCTCTCTGTCCATGGATCCTGACGATGATGAAGCAATATCTATGCCGCATGCAAGAAGACACAATTCTGAAACGCACAATGCATGGATAGGGGAAACGCCTACTCTGCTGTGCTGACACTCACCTGGCCCACAGCTGCTGCACCACGAGCACACCTTCTCCTGGTTGTCTCTGTCCATGAATGTGCCCTTAGGGCACGACTCACACATGGCAGCACGACCATTAGCTATGCAGTCCGACATCTTGTACATCCCTGAAGGACAAAGGAGTTGTTGTTAGAACACAGACAAAGATCTCCCTGTATAGCCTTTAACAGACTCTTGGGGCAGATGCTCTACCGCCTTTTTCTCCACCGGTGGCGTTGTTTACACACTGCACCAGGTAGTCATTTGAGTCTGAGTCGACCTAGGGGAGGCCCAGGTCCGGTTCAGATAATTGTCACTGGCGTTGGCCCTGAGCTGGAATTCAACACTGGTCACCGGGTTGGTAGCGCAGTGCGCTAACCGCTGCACCACCGCTCACACACACACACACACGTGATCACAAGTTGGTTTTGGGAGTCACGGGCTGCACTGACTGTCAACCTGCGTTAGAGTTATGTGACGGGCAGTGGCTCAACTGAACACGAATTTCTTCAGTCATCATCACGATCCATGGGTTTTCCACCGCACATTTCGTCGTTTGTATCACGCATTCCTGAGCCTTGTCGTGCAAATACGGCGAAGTAGTGGCCACCCGCATGGGACGTGGGCAATCCTGCCTCTCCCGCTGGCATTATTATTTTACTACTATTCGCGTTAATCTGAGCTACTTTTAAGCTGTCTTTGATTTTTTTCAAAGTTCACCACTTTATTAACTAGTTATTAATATGTTGCGATTTCGTTTTTGTCAAGAGCTTCTTACTTACAAGCTGGTGTTGCCGCCATCCCTCATCGTCTCCATACACAGCCTGCCCAAGGGATCATGTTTGCAATAATCACAACACAAGAGTTGTACGCCTTTTGGCGTCTTCTGGTCCAACACCAGTGGAGAGACTAAGGGGCTCTAAGAAAAGCCGTCTCGGGTGTGGACCAATCAAATTCCAGGACAGTGCCAATATTATTATCAGAGTTGTCTTTTTTTTTGTTTGCATTATGACTGCTTGTGCTGTGGTTATTGCAAACATGATGCCTTGAATAAAGGTGTCAGTTTTTGTGCCAGTTAAAAGGGTAAAACATATTACTATATCTTGTTACTGGCAAAGGAGGTCTCATAATGTAAATGCTCACCCCGAGCCCTCAATACTCTGATTGTGCGCTGTTTTTGAGTTGTACGCCTTTTGGCGTCTTCTGGTCCAACACCAGTGGAGACTGGGCTCTAAGAAAAGTCGTCTCGGGTGTGGACCAATCAAATTCAAGGACAGTGCCAATATTATTATTATCAGAGTTGTCTTTTTTGTTTGCATTTTGACTGCTTGTGTTGTGGTTATTGCAAACATGATCCCCTTGAATAAAGGTGTCAGTTTTTGTGCCGGATAAAAAGGGTAAAAACCTATTACTGTATCTTGTTACTGGCAAATGAGGTCTCATAATGTAAGTAACAACAACACACTTATGCATTTCTTGTCGTTGTTCATCCGACAACACATGTGCGTCCAAATAGCACACCTGTCAACCCATATGTCTTACCGGGAAATTGAGTTTTCAGGTCCATACAGCGTTCAGCCGTTTCAATACAGGCAATTGTTGTGTCTATTTGTTGGTGTTTTGTTCGTTGTGATGAGATTTTGTCCTTTCAAATCTTAACGTTTATCCTACAAAGGGGTGACCAATAAGGTCTGAATTGACCTGTAATAAGGTAAGGCACTGAGATAAGAGGTTGACAGGTATGAACTAGTGTCAGTTTCCCTTTGATCCCTGCCTGCATCATCATCATCATCAGGTTGTCTTCTTCTATGGCGCTACCTTTTTAATTGACTTCTACGTCGGTCAACTCTTTGACGCAGCAAGTATCCACCTCGACAGCAATACATTTCTCAAGTGGCAACATCTCTCATTTCTCATTTCTCCAGTAACCACCAACCCCATAGCCTAGAATGCAGTGAGAGGAGCTGACTTGGGTGGAGGAAAGGAAGCATCCGGTCACCACACGTTGTCATTCCACAGAGGCGCGTAGATCGGAAGCCTCCGTGTCTGTGTTGCTTTACCTGCACGACACAGCTCACAGCAAACTCCTTGCGGCGTTTTGTAGAATCCATCGCCGCACTCCCCGGCGGAGGACAGTTGCTGCGGGAACAGCATCTGCAGGGGAAGATTCGCGGCGGAATTGAGCGGCTGATTGTAGAGGGCAGAGCGACAGCTGCAAATTTCACATTCAGACGGAGCCACAGAGGCGAGTTCACTCGGCTGCACATGGGCCAATTCGGGGGCTCTCTCCCCCCTCGCCTTGCCCATTTTAAGGGAGGGCCTCGTTTGTAGTTGATGAGAGAGGCACAAAAACAAAGCGACCACCCCCCCACCCACCAGGATGGCCCCACACACACTGCGCATGCTGCGAGGGGGAAGCGCTGGTGGGGAGTGGTGGTGCAGCGGTTAGCGCACCGCACTGTGAACCCGGCGACCCGGGGTTCGATCCCCGCTCACAGCCATCACCAGTTACGATTGTCTGAACCGGTCCCGGGCCTCCCCCCCCCAGGTCGACTCAGCCTCAAACGAGTACCTGGTGTAGCGGTGTGTGAACATGTTGCCGCTAGGGAGACAAAGGTGGCCACCCACTTCCCTCGTGTGACGTTACCGGCCTTCATAGGAGCTCGCCGACAGCACTTGCCCCGACAGTCTGCTAAGGCTATACGGGGAGTCGTTACCTTTGTCGTTACCTTTGTCGTGGTCGGCGCGTGGGCAGGACCACACCCCACGCCCACGTGCCAATGATGATAAGCACTACTACACCGTACCAGGTACATCTGTGTGTTTAGTTGTTGTTGTTGTTGTTAAGGCTGAGTCGACTTCCGGGGGATGCAGGGTACAGGTACCAGGTGGTGGTGGTGGGGGGAGGGGTTTCTCGGAATTTTCCCGAGATTGCAATCTCCGGACAGAATTCATTGAGTCTAGATGGAATGACACGTGGCTAAACATTCATCGGCGTCAATCAATAATTGATTATAATCAATCTGTTGCCTGATGAAGGCCTTACCCGAAGCCGTCTGAAATGTTTCACGGCTCTGCGATGCAAAGGATCCGCCAAACGCCGCGTCTCCTACGTTTGGACGTACTTGTACCCCTGCTACTTACTCCGTGTTATTTTACCAGGCAAGGTTCACAATGAGTTGCTGTGCAGATTTGATTTCAGGAGCGACCTGGTCGTCACAAATTGATAGAAGCTCAAGCAAGAGGCGCAAAGCATAAAGCTACGCATGGAGACTCATAGAGATGCATAGAGACCCATAGAGACCCATAGATACACACAGAGACCTGTAGATACACACATAAACCAATGGATACACATAGAGACACATAGAGATACAGATACCCATAGATACACAGACACCCATGAATATACAGAGACCTTGAGAGATACAGATAGCCAAAGACACACACAGAGACCCATAGATACACACAGAGACCCACGGATACACACAGAGACACATAGACACAAAGAGACCCATAGATACACACAGAGACCCATAGACACGCACAGAGACCCACAGATACACACAGAGACCCATAGCCCCACAGAGACCCATAGATACACACAGAGACCCAAAGATACACACAGAGACCCACAGATACACACAGAGACCCACAGATACACACAGAGACCCACAGATACACACAGAGACCCACAGATACACAGAGAGACCCACAGATACACACAGAGACCCACAGATACACACAGAGACCCACAGATACACAGAGAGACCCACGGATACACAGAGACCCACAGATACACACAGAGACCCATAAATACACACAGAGACCCACAGATACACACAGAGACCCACGGATACACAGAGACACAGATACACACAGAGACCCATAGATACACACAGAGACCCACAGATACACACAGAGACCCATAGATACACATAGAGACCAATAGATACACACAAAGACCCATAGATACACACAGAGACACATAGACACACAGCGACCCACAGATACACAGAGACCCATAGATACACACAGAGCCCCACAGATACACAGAGAGACCCACGGATACACAGAGATTCACAGATACACAGAGACCCATAGATACACACAGAGACCCATAGATACACACAAAGACCCATAGATACACACAGAGACCCATAGATTCACAGAGACTCACAGATACACAGAGACCCATAGCACTGCCACTCCGCCGCTGCTCTTGACCATCGGCCACAACGCATCACAGTGCAAGGCAGCTTCGCTTCATTAATTTTTTTTTTAAAATCCTAATCTGGTTGTCAACCTGTTTTTTTGGCCACTTGTTGAATTTGCATTTCAAGCCGAGTCGTTGGGACCCCACCCTTGCCTGTCGCCCCAACGTGGTTCTGAGAAATAATGTTAAGGGGCCGTCCATAAATGACGTCACGCGATTTTGGACGATTTTTTGACCCCCCCCCCCCCTCGTCACACGACGTCACAAAGAGTCAGACACCCCCACCCCCCTCAAATATGACGTCATAAAGCTCTGACCCCCCCCCCTCAAAAATAAAACACGCTTCAAATCGTATTCTTAGTTTTGAAAGGGAAACAACAAAATAATAAAATATATATATAACAATAAAAAATTCTCACGACGTTTCGACCATAACTCAAACGGTCATCTTCAGGTGTGTTGGTTTGCATAAATTTATTTTTAAACGGCGCGTTTATTTATTTATAAAAAAAGTTAGCGCCACGTGCAACGATTTGGCAGTTATAAATAAATGCGCCGTTTAAAAATAAATTAATGCGAACCAACACACCTGAAGACGACCGTTTGAGTTATGGTCGAAACGTCGTGAGAATTTTTTATTGTTTTTATATATATTTATATATTATTTTGTTGTTTCTCTTCAACGTGGTGACTTTACCGAAAAAACTAAGAGTACGAATTACTGCAGTCACGAAAGCTTTAAATTAAAATTTTACGCTTCAAATCACTTTAAACTATTGTCGTTGTAGTAGTGCGTATTTAATGTGGCGCTACACTCTGATGTTGTAGGTAGAAAACATTTATTTAAAAAAGTCTATTTAATTAAGTAGAACGTGTTGTCCGTATTTATTTATAAAGTTGCCGCGTTTTGATGTGACGTCACATTTCTGAACCCCTCTACCCCCACCCCCACCCCTCGTCACACATCGTCACAAATGTCTGACCCCTCACCCCCAAGGTGCGTGACGTCATTTATGGACGGTCCCCTAATTATAATCAACATCAAATATTTTTTTTTTCACGAAATCGTCCAAGTGTTACGTGCGGC